TTTTAAGTTATCATTACATAGTGAATTATATAATGACCAATCAGCCCTGGCAAAGTTCCTTCTGGATAAAGGTGGATCATCTTCAGGGCGTATTGTTTTAAGAATGGTGGGGAAGTGATCACTCCCACATAGGTCATCATGGACCATCCATTCAAATTCATTATATAAAATGGAGTCAACAAGTGATAGATCCAGGGAAGAGTATGTTCCCGTAGCTGGATGTAAATAAGTGGCTGAATCATCATTGCAGATACATAAATCATTATCAGAAAGGAATTCCTCGATGATTTTACTCTTTACTATTAGTATGGGCACTTCCCCAAAGCGGGTTGTGTCCGTTCAGATCACCCATGATGATACATGGTTTTGGAAGCTGATCATACAGTTTTTGCAGATCTGACAGTCTGATATCAGAAGACGGTGGGATATACAAGCTGCACAGCGTCAACGCAATGTGTAAAGTGAGACGAACAGCTACAGCTTGCAGATTGGTATTAAGAGGACAGGGCTATGTATAATACCCTGTCGCACCAAAATAGAAACACCCCAGTTGCTCTATCTCCTGGAGGAAAAAGAAATGATATTCACTGTATTGTCTTAAGTTTAACGTATCTGTATTTTTAAGAAAAGTTTCTTGAAAACAAAATGCTGATGGATGAAAGTCCTGTATCAATAATTGTATTTCATTAAAGTTCTTTTTAAGACCTCTGCAATTCCATTGAATTAGATTGGGCAATTGAGTCATGGTGGCTCAATTGGTGATCGCCCTCGTGAATGTGAGGAGGAACTGTTCCTCCGCCGGTCCTGTGAGGACGGAGTGACCTCCATATCGAGAGGTCCAAAAGGGTTCTCCAGAGGAAGCTCTGAAGATAAAGGAACGTCAGTTGTTTGTTTCCGATGGTATTTTTTCCTTTCATTTTTACTGGTTGACCGAACTTTGCTGTTTGTCCGATGTTTTAGTTGATGTCTCAGGCTCATTTTGAGGCTGGTTCTCTGGCTGATTCTCAGTCTGAGATCCAGAGGAAAACTGTGTTACTGGGAGAGGGCGTGATACAGCTGAAGTTGATGTGGTGGGTTTCTCCGACTTGACCCATGTCAAATCTGTCTGGCATGTAACTGATGATGTTGCTACGGGACGAAAGTGACAGCAGCAGAGTATGTCATATTAACTGGACTTGAAACCTCATTTGCAAGAAGTTTTTGCATCAAGATACGAAATGTTCTTCTCACATTTTAATTTCATTATCTTTGACTCCTTTTGCCACACAGGGCAGGATTTAGATGAGGCATCATGTGGGCCTTGGCAGTTCGTGCACTTAAAACTCTTGTCACAGTCTGTGTTGTCGTGGCTCTCACCACATCTATGACATACCACAGAGCCACGACAAGAGTTTGACCCATGACCAAACTTTTGGCATTTGTAACACCGAGTGGACTGGGGACATACCGTCCACTCCGATATTAAAATATCCAGCTTTAATTGACTGTGGCAGTGAAGCACGAGCAAACGTCAAGAGATAAGTGTTCGTTTTTACAGTGGTACCTTCTTTCCTGATAGTGAAACGTTTGACTGCTGTCACACCCTGATCGTGAAGCTCTGCAGCAATGTCCTCCTCAGACATGTCAAACAGACAGCGAGCCCTGTCGCGAATGATACCACGACAGGAATTTAAAGTTCTGTGCACGGACACAGTAACCTCTATATTGGCGAAGGTTTTAATCGATAAAGAGATTGAGAGATTGCTGTTTCCGTGCGCATTCCACCAGAAGGGAACCACTCACGGAGACGGGTGACGTTTTAACATCACCACAAATTCCACAAACAGCTTTTGATATAGCGAAAGGATTTAGTTTGATGGGCAGAAAATCAGTTGCCTCAATCACAAGGAAGCGAGCCCATGATTCAGAATTGGCAGAAACAGTTTTGTTAGATTCATCAACATTTTCATATCGGCTTTTTTCATTTCGCAGGAACCAGATGGATTGGGATCCATGATAATAGTCAATAAGTTCAGCACCCCTGCTCCCCATCCACCTCGGAATATCAACAAGGACAGCGTCATATAGCACCGGATCTCCAAGATGCTGACACCAGGGATACAGGGTGTTATACTCCAGAGACAAAGACATGAAAGCTATGGAAAACTAAAAGAATAAATGCCAGGCTGGTTCGCCCATGACACCATTCCCAAGAATCACAGATTCCAGAGGTCTAATATCACCAGATTGGCCCATGAGCCACCGCCTTCTGGCATAGGACTCTAGGCAATTTAAAGCAATACAAGTTCAAACAAAGTAGATCCAAAAATCCAAGGCCCAATGATAATATTACAATGTGCAATATAGTCACCACGCACAGGGCTTGGCGTGACCAGCCGATTGATGGAACCGGGCCAGTTCCACCACCCGTCTAGGTGAAGTAAGGGGCGAAGTGGTGTGTTGGGCAAAGGAACACTGTTCCTGGAACCAGTGCCCTCAACCACCAGCCTCCCGTCCTCCACTGACACAGGGGTGCAACCCACGGCAAACGGGTTGGTGGACCAAAATATGCCCCCCGGGTCCACAACGGGGGGTTGAAAGGCTCTTAGCGTGACCCAGCACCCACCACGAGGAGGTGGCCTTTCATGGGTGCCTACAAGATACAAACAATTCTTAAGGAGTCAGGTCCTGGTTGTTTCTGATTAATACCAAGTCTGTTGCCAGGCAGTGACTTGGCAGGGGAGATTACCCTGTTTTTCTTTACTATACAAACCTCAAGATATGTCATTTGTTCTCCATGGGGATTTTTCCTTGAGCAGGTACTCACACTCAAGCTGAAACCTAGGAGTCTCTCTAAGGTCTTTTAGAAAGACCAAAAGTTTTACTTTGAATCATAATACAGACATGTTTTAGGTTAAGGTTTTTGTATTTAGATGAATAGGAATCTAATTTAGCTTTTTTGTTGAATTAAATGTCAAGGTTTTAGCAATATTCCAGCAATATCACGTCAGAAATGTGCTTCAAACATTGTACCTATGTGGGGAATTGAACCTGGGCCTTTGGCATAACGAGCAAATGCTTTAACCAGCTAGGCTACTCCATCGCCTCCTTAAAGTACATGAGAACATACATGACCTCTCTCTGCAAATTGCAATGTCTATTGAACTTACATTGTAATACACTGTAAGTAAAAGATTACTGGATTACACATAACTTCAGAAAGGGTTAACAGAGAATACCCCCGGTAGTATGAGGGTTAATGACGTGACAAACATTGGTCAACTGATCATTAAGTAACACTCCATCAACCCTCAAGACACCATAGTCTTTAGAAAACCATCTTAATACTGTAAATACTGTTTTCAGGTGAAAGATACATGAATAAAGGACCACCTCCATGGTAGAGTGGAGACAGCCCTTGGCCAGTGGAATATCAGTGGTTCTATTCCCTGGCGGTGTGGTTACATGCTATCAGTAGCCTGGCAGTCGGTGTCATGGTGATTAAGCAATAGCTTGCTATAATGGGATATCCATATCAATAAAACCGCCTCCGTGGTGTAGTGGTTAGAGCGTCCGCCCGGAGAGCGGTAGATCGCGGGTTCGATCCCCGACCACGTCATACCAAAAGACGTTAAAATATGGTACTTGTTGGTCCCTGTCTGGCGCTCGGCATTAATGGGTACAATAATGTGTCTGAGTGGGGTATTCATGCTTCACTGCGGCATGGTATCTCAGTGGGCTAGCACTAAAAAAACAGCTTCAGTCTGGGCTAGTACAAGCAGCCGCACATACACATACACAATACACGCATGCACGTCGTCACATGAGCGTAATATTCTCAAGCACGACGATAAACCCAATTTCACCTCACCTCACCATATCAATAAACAGTGGAAGTATAATGGGCTAACATTATGAAACATAATTTCAGATTAGTACAGGTAGCCACATATAAATATATGCATGTCACTGTATCAAAGATATAATCTTGAAGGCAATATTAGGCCACATTTCACATCACAAGACCTGATTGCAGAGGTAAGAACAATCTGAAGGAACCACAGAAATACCTGAAGATCATGACAGCTGTTTCCGCAGATCTGAGATATTGAGGGCTAACACCATGCAACACCACAGATACACCATTAAGATCATGACAGCTATTGTTTCTGCAGATCTGAGATATTGTGGGCTAACACCATGTAACACCATGAAGATCATGGCAGCTATTGTTTCCGCAGATCTGAGATATTGTGGGCTAACACCATGCAACACCACAGATACACCATTAAGATCATGACAGCTATTGTTTCTGCAGATCTGAGATATTGTGGGCTAACACCATGTAACACCATGAAGATCATGGCAGCTATTGTTTCTGCAGATCTGAGATATTGTGGGCTAACACCATGAAGATCATGGCAGCTATTGTTTCCGCAGATCTGAGATATTGTGGGCTAACACCATGTAACACCATGAAGATCATGACAGCTATTGTTTCCGCAGATCTGAGATATTGAGGGCTAACACCATGCAACACCACAGATACACCATGAAGATCATGACAGCTATTGTTTCCGCAGATCTGAGATATTGTGGGCTAACACCATGTAACACCATGAAGATCATGGCAGCTATTGATTCCGCAGATCTGAGATATTGTGTAACACAAGGAAGATCATGACAGCTATTGTTTCTGCAGATCTGATATATTGGGGCCTAACAACATGTAACACCACAGTAAGGCCATGAAGATCATGGCAGCTATTGTTTCTGCAGATCTGAGATATTGTGGCCTAACATTGTGTAACACCATAGTAAGGCCATGAAGATCATGACAGCTATTGTTTCTGCAGATCTGAGATATTGTGCGCTAACACCATGTACCACCACAGTTACACCATGAAGATCATGACAGCTATTGTTTCTGTAGGTATTTGATATTGTGGCCTAACATTGTGTTACACAAGGAAGACCATGGTAAGTACTGTTTCTGCGGATCTAAGACATTGTGGGCTCACCAGGATCCCTTGGGACCAATGTAGACAAACTGATAGTCATCCCTCTCATCTGTACGAGTGTCCCAGAATTCATTGAGCCAGTCTGACCGAAAATATACAGGAGTGGTGTAAGCTTTGTATTCAGGGAATTCCCTGAAAACAGAATTCCACTGCAAATCAGAATATACACTTAGGGAATGATCAGTATATACACTTAGGGAATAATGTTTCTTCCAATGTATTACAGTACATACATTACTGGTAAAAAATACATATACAGTGGCAATAAATAGGTTTTCTTAGCTTTTTGAGCTCAGTAGGATGCCATTCAAAAACCATTTCTTTCGATCTGACCTGTTGAGCTTTGTAAAGAGTGAGTGAGTGAGTATAGTTTTACGCAGAAATCAGCAATATTCCAGGTACATGGCAGAGGTCTGTACACAATAGAGCCTGGACCAGACAATCCAGTGATCAACAGCATGAGCATCGATCTGCGCAATTGGGAACCGATGAAATGCGTCAACCAAGTCAGTGAGCCTGACCACCCGATCCTGTTAGTTGCCTCTTACTGACGATCAATATTCTAACTCGGACCTTCACGGGTAGCTTTGTAAAGATCTCAGCTGATATCTTGGTAAAGATCCAGAAGAAGCTATTCAAAACACTTGCTAACACTGCATATACATCAACATAAAAAGGTTCTGTTCTGTTATTTCTGAATCATTTGTAGATTCAGATTTTGAATACCTGTTGAAGTGCCAGTCTTTCAGGTACAAACACTTCGCGCCAGGTGACGCTGTTTGTTCCTTCCAGTACTTGAAGTAATCCTTCAATGACATCTCCTCCTTCGGGTGTGAGGAGAACTTCTCCTGGCTACAGTCTGCCACAGGAACTGTTGCAGAGCCTATAAGACAAAGGTAACCATGGGAACATAGCGCCACTTTGGGTGGGTGTCATTTCTTTAAATATCAAGTATTGGAAATTTTAACATATATTGTATATTTATATACTTATCCTATCTCCTGCTATGCACCTCTCTTGTTCTTGTACGGCCATGTGTGGACACGTGCTGTAGGCTAAGTTGAATCAAACTTTTTGGCCTCTGACCCCTGACCTCTGCCCCACTCCATAGCAGCACCTGTCAATCATCTCCATAAGCGTGCAGCTCGCTCTGATGATCACCTGACAGCCTGCCCTTGTCATCCTCGTCTTGGAACTCCCAGTAATCTGTGATGTGGTGCAGGTCTGGCGGGTATCCTTCGCGTAAGTATATAAATATACAATTTATGTTAAATTTCCAAATTTTAATCTTATCCTGTCTCACGCTATGCATTAACCCACGGTTGGGTGACTCTAAAACCACAAGGAGGCCAGGAGAAAAAGCACTAACTCCCGCTATGCTAACTCCAAACTTGTGACGGGTTGCTTCTGATAACCCCATGGCTTACTCCGCACAAAAACTCTAGGGAGTGGGCGCTCCCGAATTAATGTGGTTTTCAGCCGCAACTTTTGACAAGCAAAAGGACGCAGTTTGGCAAGTGAACCCAGTGAATTAAAGTCGAAGATCTTAATCTGGCCAGTCCCTGCTTCGGAACTACCCCCCACAGACACGTGCTGGTGACGGATAAGAGGGAATAGTGCGGTTGCTTGACTTGTTTCACGTTCGGTACCGATCTCCCTCCCAGAGGCGAGAAAGGAATTAGGAGCAGAACGCTTCGAAAACCACGTATGAAATCGGATATCAACACTTCACTGACGTGATTGCTTGAGGAGTAGAGGTCACTACGCGGAGTGTCGACCACCTCTGCATGTAGCACAAGACTGGCCTCTCAGTCTATTGAGTCATAGCTTATGACAGTGCGAACACGCCCTAGTTGCCTATGTGAGGTTGTCTATGCCCAAAACGAAAAAAGCACCAAGATAAAGATGACTTTGATATGTTTATTATGTACAGAGAGCAAGACCGACACGAGGAAGGATTGTTCCTCATCTGCGAGCACGGTCGATGACAGCTGCTGGGCCAGGACCAACGGACCAAACAGGTGCAGACCTTCCACATTTGTAACTGAGAGATCTCGAAGATAGAGTGAGGCGAAGACTGTGTCCAATCTCCAGAAACATCCCTCCATGATGGCAGTGAGGGAGCAGTTCCGATGGAGTGCCATGGTGGATGCTAAGGCCCGAGTCTCGTGAGGATTCGCCACAGTGGGTGAAGGAAGGTCTGCATAAGTGTAGGCACGCAGGATGGTGGATCTCATCCAAAATGCCAAGGTAGTACGAGAGACTTCTGAGGTTGAAGCAGTAGACAACGGGATGAAGAGTCTTTTGCGCAGCCTACATCAATCTTTCGAAGCAGCCAGGTATATACGCAATGCCCGCACAGGGCACAGGGACAGATCTTCTGTGTCATCAGGACCCAATATAGAGGACAGCGGCAGGATCGTAAACGTGCGGTCCGGCTGACCAGGAAGTTGATTCTTGGCGATGAAATACCATCTCAACCCAAGGAAGACTTTAGCATGTCTTGACCTTTCAAACCGCACCCGAGAGATGTCGATGGCATGTAGCTCAGAGATGCGTGCAGCAGTAGCCAAAGCTATTAGAAAGAACGTCTTGAAGGAGGCATAGAAGTCCATAGACGTAAGATGATTAAGCATAATGGAGAGGTCCCAAGCTGGAGGGCGGAACTTCCAGGACTGATCAGCAAGCTTAAACGATCAGAGGAGAGATTGGAGCTCAGGAACTGTAGATACCTTCACACCCAAGGCTGGTGCAATAACGGTATTAAGAGCAGCCAGGTAAGTAGACAGTGTAGAAGCCTTCAGCTTCTTGGAGGTACGAAGATGTTGGAGGTACTCTGCAACCACTGCATCCTGAAGGTGGAGGCTGATCTTGTAATCCCCCGGCTTGATGATGGTCTTGAGGAGAGCCACCGACACCATGCGAAAGTGAGGCAGAGGTTGTAGAAACATCTCATTGAGGACGTTCATGTTGAAGATGAGCCTCAACTTGTCGGGGTCCTTCTCTGGTACCAAGAAGACTGTGTTGACAGGGTTCGATCCCAGTGATTCGATTGCAAGTTTCTGCAGCAACGTCTCTATTGTGAATCGCAGCACAGCCGTCATGAGCAGGATATGTCCTGTGATCCGGAATTAACGTGAGAGGAGGTTTGCCAACAATTGGAAGTTGATACCCCTTGGACAGAGTTAAAATTGCGTAAGGGTCGTCCAAGATGGTTGAGGGCATAAGTCCAAGGTCTTCCGCCTACTGGGGACACCTTGATAGGAATAACTGGAGGCGGAGGGATCCAGTCTCGCTCTGATATCAGCAAGTCACTGTTTGTCTGGTCTCTGCGTGGAGGACTGATCAACCGCGTAGTTTGTTCTGAAAGACGTGAAGGATCGGCGATGACGATTGGCACGACCTCTTCCAGAACCTCTCCCCGGAAAGGAAGTAGGAGCATCCGAACATATATGTGGATTCACTGGTACATAGCGAGCGGTCAACGCTGATGTAACGAGTCCTCACTATGCAATTGCTGGAACTTCAACAGTTCTATTAAGACTTGGACATGAGCGTCTTGTCCGACCATGGTGGCGACATCTCTGATGGCTCCGTTGAAGAGGTATCTGCCCGACCAAGGCTGACGAAAAAGATCTGTCCTGAATCTGTCTTTCCATGAAGATAAGTGCAACGGGCCCCTACGGTTGTAGGAGAAGATGTGAGCAACGGGCCGCTGTGATGTAGGAGAAGATATGAGCAAATTGATCCAGGATAATCTGAAACTGCTCCTGCAGTAAAACCATCGCCGCCCGAGTGTACGCCTGCTGAGGTGAAGTCGCATGACAGACCGACATGGGAACCGCTTCAGTTGCCGTCAGGACAAGGTTTAATGGAGCCAAAATCTTCCGAACAGATCCGTCCAGATCTTCTACCAAGAAGGGATAGTAGGCCCTCTGCTTAGACCCCAGCAACGTGATGTTGTCATCTACCGGACGGGAGGTAATCAAGGTGGAAAACCCATGGACATGAGAGGACGCCAAAATCAATCGTTGATCTTCCTGAGATTGACAAACGCCGCCAGTTGCGTGATGCAAGGACGAGGAGAAAAGGTGATGGAGCCAAAGTCTCCAGGTCTCATGTCGAAGCTGGATAATAAGTCAAATTCTGTTGATGAAGTGATGTGAGCGGATCAGTCGAAGGAAGCGTCGCACTGGGAAACAAATCTGAACCCACTGTAGGTGGTCTGCTTGAAGCAACAGTAGTGATTGTAGAAAATGTTGTTCTCGTGGAGCTAACATCCCCCGCTAAAGGAGCTGAATAAGACGATTGAAGTGCCGCACCTGGAGGGTAAGGAACCATAGACAAAGCTGGATGCCCAGGAAACAATGGCCAAGTTGAGCTAAGTGGCGCACCAGGAGTATGCGATAAACCGGCAGAGAGCGTCGCACTGGGAAGGATCTGTGCACCAGGTACAAGGGTTGAATTGTGAGTAAGCGCCGAACTGGTAGCAAGCACCGAACTGGAACCAAGCGCCGAATGGGAATCGATGCCGGACTGACAGTAAGTGTTGAGCTGGATGCAAGTACCGAACTGGCACCAAGCGCTGAACCAACAGTAAGCGTTGAGCTGGAGGTAAACGCCGAACTAGAAGCATGTGTCGAACTGGAAGTAAGCGGCGCTCTGGTAACAAATGCCAAACTACTAATAAGCGCCGAACCGGGAGGGATGGACTCTGTAGACACAGTCACCAAGCTCGAAGTAAATGGTGAACTGGAAACAGGTGGTGTCCCGTAAAGAAGAGGGATGACATACGGAATCGAAATCGGCAAACCAGTAGATATAAAAGGCTGATAGGGAAGCGCCGAACCGGTAGCGATTGCTGAAGTAGACCTAAGCGCCGAACTGAATACAAGCGGCGCACTGGCAGAAACCGTCGGACCAATCAGCGAGCAGGAGAGCGCCACACCCATAGTAAGCAGCGCTTGCGACTGAGCCCCAGCCAATCCAAAAGCCTTACCGGAAGCCACACCCCTCGAAAGACTAGAGCCTTGTGAAACTGACACTAGGGAAGCTGGACAGCCTTGCGTAGTAGAGGTAGATAATACGACTATCCTGGATGGAGAACGAATGCCAGTGGTGACCAGAATGGACGACTGGGGACGAAATAATTGTCGTAAGTTCTCGCTAAGATAAGAGTCCGACGCAACGTCCAAAAATTCTTTGTTAGGTGATGGAGTATGAGAGCGACGAACGGCAGTCTTCTTATGAAGACCGTTTAACAGAAGGACCCTCGGAGGGTCTACGACGATCTTGGTCAGCTATCCTTCTGGATGCTACCTAGCGATATTCTGAGAAGGTGTCGTCATCCAAACCAGCACGAAATTGACATCGTTTTGCCCAGTCGCATCGGCCTAAACAGTCCACGCAGAGTGAATGCGGGTCTGCAGCAGAGAAATTACTCCTGCACCTATCACAAAACTTTCGTTTTTTCTTAGCCGCACTGCAACTAGATTTGCCCATGATTGAGAAAACAGTCAAATTCCTTGAAAACACACACATGTCTAGACAGCATGGCAACAAGTAAGAGGATGACAAGGGCAGGCTGTCAAGTGATCATCGGAGCGAGCTGCACGTTTATGGAGATGATTGACAGGTGCTGCTATGGAGTGGGGCAGAGGTCAGGGGGTCAGAGGCCAGAAGGTTTGATTCAACTTAGCCTACAGCACGTGTCCACACATGGTCCTACAAGAGAGGTGCATAGCGTGAGAAAGGATAAGTTTAAAAAATTTCAACATTGCATTCCATGTGATAATGTAAAATTAATGCTCATAGACAGTTCATCCTGGGCCATGTGCCTTTAGGCCATTGTATCAGTGCGATAGAAGTCAACTGTAGATCTCAAAGCCGAACATTAGTATAAACTAACAAAACACTGACTGACTGACTGAGTTTAATGCTGCTTTTAACAATATTCCTGTATGTCAGCTTACTGAGTACGAAAACCCACAGTGAAATAGTCAAACATGGGTATGGTGGTGACAATAGCCAATAGAAACATACTTACAGTGATCAGGATTTGAAAGAATAATCATAATGTTCTGACAAACAGATGGGAATCAACCCTGCACCTGGAATTGCAGCGTCTTAAAACTGAGACATCCGTGCCCAATCACAACATGAAATCTTCAATGAATTTGCTGAGGTATTGTGAAATATGTATAACATCACTGCACAGATCCCTCCAGATAACATCACTACAAAGGACTGTGTCAACTTACAGTGTAGGTGAGCTTCCCTTCCAGGACCCACTACTTACAAATTACTTTACCAAAGTTACACCAATGTCACATAATCTATGAATAAATGTATCCTCATTGGCATTGTATAAATATGTCAAATAAGGGAAATGTGCAATGATGTGCAAATTGTGATCGAAATATGTGCTGTGTGCTCTTTGACCTTGTTGTATGATGAAATATTGACAAATAAATAAATGGATCTTAAACTCTAGACTGTTTTTCCTTGGGGGGGATTTTGTCTGGGTGGATTTTGTCCTAAGATGCACTTTGGGGTGGGGGTGGGGGTGTTGTCTGGGGGATTTCGTCCGGTTACCCTTACAGCCCTAATGACAAGTAAAGACCTCATTCTGACACAACTTTACCAAAATGGCTGATGAAGAAGTCTAGGTGGGGCCTCCCCTGCTGGACCCATTCCCTCCGGCTCCGCCATCCCTCGGTACACTTGGCTGACATCACACATGGGCGATTCGGCAACAGGTACTGCAGGAAGAACTCCTCATAGCTTGGCATATCGTCTAGGTGATCTATTGTGACCCTAACTTCATGTCTCCTCTCGGGTATGTTGTCGATGTGCTGGAGGAGGTCATTACAGATCATGGGACAGACTGATGCCATGATTTAGTACCTGGAAACAGTTGTGTCAGCAAGGTGATTGTAAGTGAGATGTAGTTTTATGTATGGCTGGCTGAAAAGATCAATAATCGGAAATATCTTTGATGAGAAGAATTATTAAAGATGACGATATGAAAACTGTGCCATCGATAATATTGTATATAAGCTATTGTGATGAATAAAGTATTTTAAAATTCACTCACACAGTACACAAAGTTAGGTCTTTATTCATGGGCTGCTTTTAAATTCTGTCAGGGCTCTGTGTGTGTGTGTGTGTGTGTGTGTGTGTGTGTGTGTGTGTGTGTGTGTGTGTGTGTGTGTGTGTGTGTGTGTGTGTGTGTGTGTGTGTGTGTGTGTGTGTGTGTGTGTGACCACTCGTCAATGAAGTGAAATATGTTCATTTGATGTTTGTGGTACTTTGGTTCAAAGATATTTCTCCAATATTTAATGACAATTCAACAATATTTAGTAAATAAATACTGATTTCTATGGTCTATGATGATTCACTTGTTATATTTTCAAAAGAAAAAGATATATGTTATATGGGTATTAACAGACAGTGCCAAAGATGATAGGCAAATATCAAGCAATCTGACTACTTTACCTGAAGAGGGAATCTTCTTTTCTTCAATATGCTCAACATATACTCGTTACCATTTATTTAAAGTATAAATACACTGAAAGAATATATTTGTGCTTCCTCAATAAACAATTGTTATGTAACTGAAACTATGGTCCTATATCCATTCCCTAATATCAACATGATCAGGAAACCCTTCAACTTAAAGATGAACCATTATTAAAACACGTTGGTGGATTTTGATTGAGATTTGTAATGCAAATAGTGATACAGTCCAATGTTCTTTGTCCAGAGGTACAGCTAAGCTGCGTATCTGCGTAAATTACGCAAATATTTACGTGAAAACTCAATTGCTATTTAGTCTATTGCGTGCAAGTACTTTTGAATTTTGTAAATACTCAATAAATGTGATCTTACATGTGTACACACGAAAATGTCAAATCTTAGTTTACGTTCCAGTGGATTGATAAAATAACTGAGGTATATTGAGAGGTTCTATTTCAGGACGTGAACTTAGCAACTTGCAGTTTTTCTTCTCATTTCTCATATTACAGATCAAATATTAATAACAAACACTAGCATTTAAACTTTATTATATTTTTAAAATTAATGCAAAAAAAGGCAAAATACCCAATTGAGTTTGAAAGAGGTGAGTACAATTTATTTGGTTACTCAAAGGAAAATTAGGATACCCAATTGAGATGATCACAAGCGAGTACATAACTCAATGACCCAAAAAGTTATCTGTACCTCAGTTGTCCCATGCCTGATCGGCTAACAATAATACTTAAACCTCTGACCTTGTCATGATTAATTATTATCATCACACATTTTAAGCCACACTCCAATAATACTTGCTGGTGTGTTGAGGTTGGACTGAATAAATGAACATAATTAGTGCATAGTATTAGGGCTGGCTAAAAAGATTGATAATCAAAAATATTTTCATATCAGTGGTTTGATTACTAACGATTATTGATATGAACATTTCGTCATCCACAGCAACTAACATAAACTATTGCGATGAAATAACTTCTTGTTTTCATAGACAACACACAAAGTTAGGTATTTATTCAATGGTCACTTTCAAATGCAAAATGCCTCCAATCACCAGTGTTGTGAATAATGTTGATTATAGTCACACTGTTTTTCATTATTGCTCAAAGCTGATCATCAAATATACACATATAAATTGTTGATCGATATTAAGGTAATATTAAGGTAAGACTTCTTGGGTGGAAGTCTTTCCAAAGAGTTTGCTTGTCATTCCGAAGACCTGAGTTCAATTCCCCACAAGGGTACAATGTGTAAAGCCCATTTATGGTGTCCCATGCCATGACATGGAATATTGCTAAAAGCTGTACAAAACCAAACTCACTTACTCATACTGAGTACATTTGATAACTGCTGTGGATTGTACATATGAGACCATGTGACTTCGCCTCATTCTCATTCTCATCCTGCTCATGATCATTCCACTGCATCTCAGAGCCAGCATGTCACTCACTTTCGATAAAACTCATATAGGTACAGACCAATAGGTAAACAAGAGCTACTTATTTAATTTGTGATATCACGTTGACTCTAACATTCTAGCCAAGCTTAAAGCTCACATTGCCGCAGAAAAGTATTAAGAATCAAAGAAGTTGCATCAAGTAACCTAAAGACAGTAAGTAAGGTGCGGAAGACAAGTGAAGTACGGTTTTTGCTGAATTGGGGTCGATATAACAGCAAAACATACCTTTTATAAATACTACATGTCCTGAACCTTGTTGTATAAGATAAATGCGTTTATATATCTTACTCTGTTCAAATGTCACGTTACAGATCGCGCCCCTTCAACACTTTATAGGTTTCTTAGGTCGCAATGGACAGCTGATCAACATGGGCGCAGCCATGTGTAAAGCTCGCAATTTATGTCACGACAGCGAAGAAAATGGAATTCCTAAAACACGAATGTAATTCAGATCATTTTCTATGCCAAATACTGTTATAATTTTAAGGTTTCGGGTATATAATATTTTTACTATTTCATATTCCTTTTCTGCGGAACTGTAGACAGGAAAGGAAGCAGCCGACGCTTTCACAACATTGCAAAATCAGAAGTGAATGACCACAAATCGCCCATATATGTGACATATGATTGTTGAAAGTTGACAAGCTACCAATGCTTTTAGTGAATCTATACATAACAACTGCTCCCACATGTGTAATGGTGGGACAGGCGAAAAAAAAGGGACAATGTTTGTCGGTGGGTGTGTCTTCAAATATGTCCAAATATTTCTTGTTGAACGGTTGATGGAAATGTAACTTGGACATTATATTTTCAATAGGTATACGCTGTTGTCGTTGCTAAATGGATGTGAAATGATGCAAATGCGCCGTTATAGCTGAACTCCGCTCACTGCTGATCTGTGTGACACTGTTTTTATCACACGGACATATCTATTTCCGTCTCGTGTTTTCAAAAAAAAACCCGTGTACATATATGATCCACAATGCTCTTGCCAGATCGTACAAAACCGGTAGTAATACCATGGAGTCACCATTGTTGTATCATATATAAACAAGATCACGTTATCGACCAGTCCGGGCTTGCTACAGAAATACATTGAGGTTAATTCAAATGAAAAAAGTCGTACATCGATCATATGGAACTTAAATTATGCTATTACATAATTGCCTTTCAGTTTATAGGCTGAAATTGTCAATTTTAGAGCATATGCTGCTAAGCTCCTTTCAGTTCAGTTCAAGGTCATAGCGTGTTGTGTAATGTTATCTGTTTTACGTACTGAGCTGTCGTGCCTTGACAGTGTTTGTGAGATGTTTGATCGTTGCTGTAGACAATGGTGAACTATCGGAATGTTTTGTAATGGGCACAATGTGGAAATTCTGCATGACACATTCTGCAACATTACCAAGTTAACCAGTAAATAGACTCTTGAACAATGGCAGCTTGCACTGGAAACTCTCAACTAGATCCTGTAATTGGTTTACTTGGTGTCATATGATCTTGTGATACTACTTGGCATGTATTTACAGACTTAAGGTGTTTCTTTTTTTGTATACTATGTTCACACAGATACATGTAATGCCATTTCCTTCCTTCAGATACCACAGGGTAGTGTTTTCTTACAATCCTGGACAAAACAGCTTTGTTAAACTGATTTGCTATTGAGTCCACCTCACAAATATGTTTGTGAGAATCAGGATAAAATTTCTAAGTTACTATTAATACTAAAGCACATTGTCAACAAACGTTCGGGAAATAAATATGGTTAACACTAGTTCATTTGCAAAGAAAAAATTATATCTTTTCTAAATTCATTGATGTCATGAATATTTTCAGATGGCCACAGGAAAAGAAGGTGAGCAGCTGTTGGTTGACTTGGAAAAACTATCCTTACAGAAGGAGGAACACACTGTGTTGAAGAAAGTAGACCCAACTTTGGATTTTCCATACTTGACTGAATTAAATACAGTAAAACATATCAAGGAGAGAAAGGTGATGTTCTTGTTGCGTGGTTTACCTGGATCAGGCAAGTCTACAATTGTTTCCAATCTTCAGTATGTTTACCCAACTTCTGTGAAGTGTTCTGCAGATGACTTTTTCCTTGTCAAAGGTCAATACAAATTTGATGCTGCACGATTACAGGAAGCTCATGGATGGTGCCAGACAAAGGCACGCTATGCCTGTGAGTCAGGTACTCCTGTTGTTATCATTGACAACACAAATGTGCTCACTGGGAAATGCAGTTCTACTTAAATTTAGCGCATCGGACAAACTACACAGCCATTACAGTAATTCAGAAAACATCTTGGCGTTTTAGTCCTGATGTACTTGCAAGGAGGAATAAGCATGGTGTCAGTGAACATATTCTAAGAGAAAAGGTTCATCAGTTTGAGAACAAGGCTCCAGTATACTATGGTTGGTTCTTGACAGAGGAATCAAGTAAATATATACGGTTCATAGCTAAACACCTGTATGAGGAGTGTCGGAAGCATTTTCCGGATTACTGCAGGTCTATTCTGGAGGTGTATCGTAAGAAATATCAGAAGCCTTCACAAGGTAATAATTTTGTTGTCATATATTAGGTAGAGAGAAAATCTGTGTACCTCAGAAAAAACAATAGTAAATCTCATTCCAAAGTCATATTTTCATATGAATCATTTTGTGTGTGTGGGGGTGTATGTGTTGTGTTCATGCTTATATATGGGAGATGTGAGTATTCTGTTAGAATGTCTCCAGCTAGAATGTGTCAGAATTTTGCTAAACTACTCACACACTTTAATAAATACCTTGATATATCAGTTACTATTTCAGAGAATGAGAAAAGCCAACTAAAGCTACACTTTCCATGGAAGTCTGATGATCTTCTGCACTGTACAGCCAAGTTCTGCAACAAAGGGAGAGCACTTGGTGCTTCAACATACCACACCAGACAGGATGTTGCAGACAATGTCGGAAAGGCCTTCAGACTTAAGGTAGTGGGCTTCACCTTCTCACAAAACACTGTAGCAGGAAGAATATGTCTGAGTGAGGAGCAACGTGCTCTCTTTGACAAACCAGAAGAGAGAGAAAGAGATGAGGTGATTGCCAGGAACAAAGCTGTGAATGCAAGGTTAGCACAAATGTCAAAATATCAAACAAGAATTAAGGATAAAATACTCTCTCCTGCAGCTGCAACATCAAAACCAGCTACCCTTCCCCACCTAAGGGGTTCGGTCGAAGCGCAGCACTTGACTGTTTGTTGTTCACAGGGTGTGCAAAACAGTCACACTATTCATGATCTGCTGGACATCTGTGACATGGAGAGTGCTGGTGAGATGGGTCATGGTGTGAAGGTGGCCGGGGGTGAGGCGGTGTATCTTGGGGAGGGGTTCTGTGTCGTCTACCTGTACAGACCAATATATGTAACAACACTCTACTCCCCATATCATGTTTAAGTATGTGTGAGCCTACTGTTACTAGGGCTGGCTATGGATTTAAATTACAGAGATGGATAATTGTAACTAAAAATCAATTATCGATATTTATCGGAGAAGTAACTTTGAGCCAAAATGCAAAAAAATGTCTGAAATAAATACATTTCATGCCACTAAATCAGTGACATGTTTATGCATGGGTTACTAACAACACAGCATCCTGAGCATAATTTAGGAGAATCATGTGATTAAAAACTTAACTTTGTAGATTAAAATGTTATTCTATCACAAAGCCTTATATATACGATATTATCGATGACACCATTTTCATATTGATAATCATGAATAATTTTTCCTATCGATGACATTTCCGAATATCAATCATTTTTAGCCAGCCCTAGCTGTTACTGTTATGAAATACTCCATGGCAGCACTGTATTTTCATATACACTAGATATAACAAGTGTCTTAAGGTCAGACAGCCATCACCATCTCTCAAAGGAACTACATGTCATTATTTTTACAATTTCACTAATTTTTTAGCATCTTTATTTTATATTTTCTGGACATATTTGCCTTTTCATCCAGCTGATGCAGGCAATTGTTTAGGTATCCAATATGAGGACATTTCATTATTATCCAGAACTAGCTGAAGTACTAGTGTTAGTCTCGATATAGAATATATGATAGTATATGAATCATTTTCAGAATTGGTAACACATATATGTTGTGGAAATATGAAAATATATTTTCTTTTATGGCTTTGGTTGGTACACTTCCCTTGGTTTCACCTCCTGTTTTCAATATTTACTTCATAAAATGACTCAGATTTCATAAATTTGGCTTTAAGACATGACTATGTTGCTTTTGCTCTGTCCCAGCTCTAGTACAATATAGAACAAACTTTAAGATAACAACTTCTTTTATTCGTGAGTGCGACGTTTCGATACAGATTCTTGTACCGTTGTCAAGCAGGAATGGAACATTAAGATGGAGGATGTATATATATACTGAATGTAACAATGTAACAGAGAAAACAACATAATTAACATAACTGGCTAGGCAGTAAGCTGATGAAGCCAGAGAGTAGACAAAGGACAGGCGTGGAAGCCAATGATGTACAAATAATAATGAGATGTTGGACTTTCTGAATCCTGTTTGACAGAACTCATTTAGTGGCACAGACTGCATGGTATGTTCTGTCGGCTGTTTCAATTTGATACGTCACCAGAGATGTCATATATTCAGATAGGTCGTCCAGGTTACATGCAATCATAAGCATCCTTTTTTAGCTGAAATTTTAAATCTTCATCTAGACTTACGTATGGCTGGTAAAGTTACTGTATTTTACTGGATTCCTAGCCACTCTGGCATAAGAGGTTTCCAACACTAAAATGCCTTACACTGACCTTATACCTGCAATCTGCCAGTATGTAACAGATCAGTGGCAGCAGAGTTGGAATGACCAAGTGACAAATAAGCTTCATTCCATTAAACCAAACATAGGAGAGAATCCATTAACTGGACTTGCCCATCAAGATGAAGTGGTAATATGGAGATGTTGTATAGGACAGAGTTACCATGCACATTTGTTTTTATTGAAAGGAGAAGATCCACCTAAATGCATCCCATGCCATAGATCAATTAGTATTAATCAGATTTTACTTGAATGTGCTGATTTTGCTGATATCAGACACTGTTTTATGGTGATGTTCCAAACTTATCTCAGCTTTGTAAAACAGTTTCGAACCAGACGATTTTAGCATATTTAAAAGAAATAGAACTATTCAACAAGGTATACATTTTTATCTCAAACGTAAGTTTTTACCCATAAATGTGATATTTCATTGAAATTTTAGTGATTTTCATCATCACTTACAGTCTGACATACTGTAAAACAAAAAGCATCTCTTGTCGTAAATAGCTTAAAAATTGCTTTTGCAGCATAAAGCAATATTTACTCACTCACTCAATCAGGGAGGTTTTCTTTAACCAGATTGATTACCCTGTCAATAATGTTTTGGTCTTTGGAACCGTTGTTTTGCTCATTTTCCTGGATCAAGTTCAGGTATTTGTTTTGTTTCCTAATAAGGATAGGGTAGGCATTTGCTTTGTTCGCTCTGTCACTTGGTTTGTGTGTAACCCTCCATTTTCACAGTTGGCCCTCCTTTGCTTGGACCGCCTTCATGGTGTAGTGGTTAGAGCGTCCGCCCGGAGAGCGGAAGGTCGCGGGTTTGATCCCCGACAGCGTCATACCAAAAGACGTTAAATTATGGTACTTGTTGGTCCCCGCCTGGCGCTCGGCATTAATGGGTACAACAAGGACTGGTTGGCTCGGAGTCAGTATAATGTGTCTGAGTGGGGTATTCATGCTTCACTGTGGCATGGTATCTCAGTGGGCTAGCACTATAAAACCAGCTTAAGTCTGGGCTAGTACAAGCAGCCGCACATACGCCTACACACGCATGCACGTCCTCATATGAGCGAAATATTCTCAAGTACGACGTTAAACCCAATTTCACCTCACATCACCTCACCTTTGCTTGACTTTTCCAAATTATATTAATAAGCCAGACAAGGTTTGCATTGTGTACTTTTTATTTACATTTCAATGTTATGAAAAGTAAAATACCTTGAACTCAAACATATTTATTTTAGCCTTTACATGTTTGATATCAAACAAGCTTCAGTTAATTGATTAAGTAGTGAGTGTTCTGGTGCAAACAGAAATTGTTACAAGGATGTAAGGACTGACATGATGAATCATACGTTTTATTGCAGATAGTCTAATCACTCAGGGAAATGAAGCCATGCTTTCTGCTGAATAATAATATACTAGTATCATATGATATACAATGTCATAATAACTTGCCAATTAATCAAGACTCCTGTCACTGAGCAAGGTTCAGATCTCATGACATGGCTGTATTTGAAGATTTTATGGGTGGTTCAGAGGTATATTCAGGTATTTGTCAACTAACATTTAACAGCCTGTATTGAACAAACCAGAAGTATGAATTACTGTTAGTTCAATATCAGTAAGTATGTAAACCATGCTGATTTTGAGGGTCCCTTGTTCACTATGCACAGAATTGACTAGGTAGAGGAGGGAATAACCCTACACCTTCAAAACTTTTCCTGGGATTCTGCAGCCCTTGCTGATGTACTAATTGAATATGGGACCTTATATATAACTTTTAGCAGAGTTGTGACAACGATGGATTGACTGTCATGTGCCCTTTGGAACACTGCATTGTGATCTCATCCACTCCTGTGCTGGATTAATTATCTCCAGCGGTGGGCTGTCATACCTTCATCAGTATTCAGGAAGAAGTTTCAACTTTACTAGGTACTGCATTATACTGTCCACTCACTATGTAATTCACTGTTGACATTCTATATGATTTCATTTATCACTGATGTGTAACCATTCAGGAGCAGCTATTCTTGAGAAATTTGTTGACAAAAAGCAATAGAAAAACTTCTGTGAAGTATGTATTTGTTTTTATATCATGTTTGTTTACAAAACAAAGTTTGAGTGCTCTGTAGGATATAGATATTATTTTAGAATTGATCACATTTCATATTTTTACAGTAAAATATGGTTTTCATAGATTTACAAATGCCTGTTTACAAGAAATGATTATTTATGGATAGTGTTGATTTAGTGCATCAAAAGCTATAAAAATCCATTACTCCTTTTAAAATGTATTTTAATTTTTAACAATGTACACATACATGTGAGGTGGTTCAGTATTACCCCACTTTTAGCAATATTCCTACAATATTACTGTGGCTGAAACAGTCATCATACATGTTACTGATGTAAGGAGACTATGAGGCAGCCACAGAACCTGTTTGGGGCTGTGGGGTAGCCTAGTGGTTAAAGCGTTGGCTCGTTTCGTCCTGGGTTTGAATTCCCACATGGGTACAATGTGTCAAGCCCATTTCTGTTGTCCCCCACCATGGAATATTGCTAAAAGTGGCGCAAAACCATACTCACTCACTCTTTACTGACATGGAACTGAAAAGAAAGTATGTCAAGAAGTAGTTTCAACTAGGTATCATAGGCAGTTTCCTCCAATGCACAGGGGTTCGAATCACTGTTTTGACAATAATTTTTTAAATTAAAAATCTAGATTTTTTGCAACCGTATAATGTTTTTATATGTTATGATTAACTTATATTTCAAATTTGAACGAAATCGGTGAAGAAATGGATTTTAAATTTTAAATATAAGTTACTCATAACATATTAAAACAATATACAGTTGCAAAAATCTAGATTTTTATTTTTAAAAATTATTGTCAAGACATTGATTCGAACCCCTGTGCTCCAATGTATAAGATGAATACTGAAATTTGATGCCTTATAACCGAGTAATGTATTTGTATTTCCCAGATGTTTTGTGGAAATTGAAATGTTTTCCTTTCATTGAAAAGAGCTTTACCTCAAAAGGTGTGTTTGAGCCTTGTAACTTGATTAATAGCACCTATGATTGTATGTTGCAGCGTTATAAAGGACATGTGTGGATGACTTAATATGAATGTGTCAGTCATTCCAAACATTTTGCCGTTTCTCTAAAATGTTTTGTTCATTTAAATGATCCTCCATAATAAATGTTTAAGATATTAAATATTTTACACACATAATAGTAATAGACTTGCTACCTTTCACCATTTTTAATACTTCTACATTATCTTATTATCCCCTGCAACGCGTTTTGCGGGGGGTATTAAAATGGACTCCGGCCGTCCGTCTGTCCGTCCGTCCGGCCGTGCACATTTGTCTTTTCCAGAGCAGAACTCTAAAACAGTTCAATATTTCTTCACCAAACTTGGCACATGCATGGATCTGGTGGTGTACTGGTGCCTTTTGGTAGTTTTGGAATTCTGAATTAAATATTTTTGGCGTTTCCATGGCAACAAGTTCGACTTAGACTGAAATTGGTGGTAGTGCTCTTTTCCAGAGCAGAACTCTAAAACCGTTCAATATTTCTTCACCAAACTTGGCACATAGATAGATCTGGTGGTGTACTGGTGCCTTTTGGTAGTTTTGGAATTCTGAATAAAATATTTTTGGCGTTTCCATGGCAACAAGTTCGACTTAGACTGAAATTGGTGGTAGTGCTCTTTTCCAGAGCAGAACTCTAAAACCGTTCAATATTTCTTCACCAAACTTGGCACATAGATAGATCTGGTGGTGTACTGGTGCCTTTTGGTAGTTTTGGATTTCTGAATAAAATATTTTTGACGTTTCCATGGCAACAAATTTGTCTTAGACTGAAATTGGTGATAGTGCTCCTTTCGGGAGCAGAACTTTAAAAACCTTTCAATACTCTCCTTCCACTTTTCTATATACACACCTAAATATTTGACATAATCATAACTCGTAGACATAATCATGAAGAGTATTTTGCCATTGCGGGGGATATTGATGACTTTGTCTTCATGTTATTTTGGGGTGGCTTAGCCTAGTGGTTTAAAGCCTTTAGTTCTCATCCAATGAAGACCGGTTCGATTCCCCACATGGGCACAATGTGTTAAGCCCATTTCTGGTGTCCCCCGCCGTGATATTGCTGGAATATTGCTAAAAGCGGCGTAAAACTAAACTCAGTCAGTCAGTCAGTCATGTTATTTTTGTATCTTTATTGACTAACCAAGTTATGGACTAGTTAAATTTAGCTTGTTGTGTTTTCCAGGTATTAGAGAGGAATTCCAGAATATCTTCCAAACAGCATCAGAGAAAACTAACCGTATTTCCAGGTCCTGCTCTGTTATGCTAAACATGCTAATGGATGAGTTGTTTCTGGGCCTATTTAAACATATCAAATGATCTTTTCCTTTTTCATGTTATTTACTAGTACCTGATTCAAATTATAAAACATTTTACCATTTTGGGTAGAAAATATCTTTGCTTTGTTGTTCGGCTTTTCATAAGTGCAGTGTTTGCTAACATGAT